TTTGAGAATCATTTTATGGATCACAGAAAGGTCTATTTCTAGGCTGGGAGAAGGATCGGGAATCAATGAGGGCCTCATCATTTTGTGAAGGGGTTTTGCCTCTTTTAAATCAATTTCTCGTGGTAAATCTAGAAATTCTATACATGCACGACAATGCACCATGTCACAAAGCGTACTCAATAATTGAGGCACTGCGTGAAGTTGGAATAACGTCTGTTAGATTACCACCATACTCTTCTGACCTGTACCCGATCGAGTCATTGTGGAACATCTTAAAAAATTACATTCAGCTAAATAGTCCAGAGATAAATGGGGTCAGGCATGTGCGCTCTGCCACGTTGAGAACATTCCCACAGGCCGCCTGTAACACTATACCTTTTGAGGAGCTATTGTCACTAGTTGGTAGAATGCACGAAAGATGTGTAGCAGTGATAAAGGCAAATGGAGGGTAAACAAAGTATTAGCATGGAACATACTAATACGAAGCATCTAGAACGGTTTCGTTTTAGCTGCAAGCCATACTGAGGGCTTCGATGTATCCTTTTGCAATACAGCAATTATTTTTGAAATAGATGCGTATTTCTAGATAATATCAATCGATTTTTTGACCTGGAGAATGCGAAAGGGAGACAAAAAGAAACCGGTAAGGTGGCCGCGTTCCAGGAGTGGAAAAACTCATGGACACGTCCAGCAAACAAGATACCATTTGGTCATCGAGCTTCGGCAGACCCCGAACATTGGAAAGCCGCAAATATTATTACAGATGAGACAACAGGCAGAAAAAGGATTACATATAGAAACACACCCTCAAACATCCACCGAAACCTAAGTAGGGCCCAAAGCAGTATTGCAGTTCAGATAAGAAGTGAGCACATTGGTCTTAATTCTTATCTGTATCGAAGTAAAGTTCCCGGAGTGATTGATCCAAAATGTCAGTGTGGATATCTGTCTCAAAATGTCCAACATATGGTCTTGGCGTGTCATCAACGGGCAATGGGAAGAGGAGAGGTGCTTCAAAAGGCAAAAGACAGGTCATTTGCGGCAATGATGAACAGCCCAGATGACATACAAAGAATTACAAAATGGATCCTGGCAAAAGGCTGGTTTGAACAATTCCGGCTTGCAGGAGAAGTAGAAATAGCATTGGACGAAATGATGAGACGATGTAGACAAGGATAAGACGGATTTCACAATGTATAAACAGTGTAATCGCACTTCCTGTAGGAAACATCAGAAACAAAATATACACGAGACAGACAGTTGTGGGGGGTTTCTACCGAATTTGGTTTCCTCCTGTGTAAATATTATAGCTAGATATTCCTGCATGGGCCCATAGGGTACCTGAACGGGCTAAATGAAATCAAATCTAAATCGATTTTTTGAATATTAAATTTTAAATGAGGACCATTGTACCGTGGTGCCACGGTGTCAAGTTTGCAATGGGGCATTAGCTGGGTTTTTAGCGTGAAGACTAAGACGCCTTAGGCATAGTCACCTTCCATACTAGAGTTAGCCTCCGTATTTGTGCAAATTTTTGAAAATTTTTGTATAGCAGTTTTATCTGGACACCATGGTTTGCAGTGGGTCTTTCCTTCGTACTAAACCTAATTTATATAATGATCGGCTGCATAACATTTGTGCATCTCTGCTACTTGACTTTATAACTTATTTACAAGAGTTCAAAGGTTTTCAAATCACAAAATAGAATAGAATAGAATAGAATTTTATTTATGTCCCTGCTGAGTCTATGACTATAAAGGACAGCTAAAACTTTCTAAATAGCTTTGAAGTTAACAGTAAATTTGTATGTGGCTGTGTTCAATTTTTGCCAATAGATGATGAGGGTCGTGCCCTAAATCACAAAATAGAGCCAGTCTTATCCTAACCTTAGATCTGAACATGTGGCTAGAATATTTTCAGGCCTTAACATCTGGTCGGTCCCCCATCCGCATCTACCACAGCCTGACATCTTGCTAGAATACTCTGAATGAGTTTCACAAGATCTTCGGAAGACACGGAATCCCATGCCTCCTTTACAATGAAGCGAAGACTATCTTGAGTTCGCTGCTTTCCGCAACCCAGATTCGGATGATGACGCTGGATGTAATCCTTCATCTTATTCCAAACAGCTTCAATTGGGTTAAGATCAGGCGAGTTGGCCGGCCAGAAAATCGGTTGAATGAGCCTCTGGCTCATATCTTCCATTATAATAGCGGCTGTGTGGGCAGGAGCATTATCCTGCATTACGGAAAGCCAAGGTCTCATCGAGACCATGCCATCAATAAGAGGAACTATCTTCTCGCAATATTTTTGGGAATTAATGGGACCCCATTACTTCTCCCAAAACAAACAAGAGCCTTTTCCTGGCTCTGCAAAGCAACCCCAGAACATCCGTCCGACCCTATTCTTCGATTTTTCTCCAACAGAATCATCGTTGTATTCTTGGGAATTCTAGCTCATAATGTTAGAGCATCAAATTACCATCTTCTTATGGAGGAATATACGAACACTTCTTGTCACCCATTCTCTAGAATATCCACCATCCTCTACCCAAGTTTCGTCTGTCCATAAAACTGACGTCCAGTCTTCAAACGTCCAATTGAGATGAGTTTCGGCCCATTCTCTGCGTGTCTTCATAGTTTTCTGCGATACTGGAGGCTTAAGACGAGCCACATGTCGCTGATATCCTTTTTTCAAGTTCTCTTTGTATTACTCGCTCGCTAACACCAAGATATCTAAAGGGGCCAGAGGCGAGTTCCAGAAATGGTTTGCGGCGGTTTCCAGGAGAAGACTCAACGTAAGATATAATCTGATGAACATCATCTGCTTCCAGCCTTGAGGATGTTCTTTTTCTCTTTTAGGGGAGAAAGTTCCGCGGCACAGTGAATAGCTAACTTGTCCCCGAGGAATGCCTAGTTGCGCGGCAATCTGCGTCTGGTTTTTGCCAGATTTATGAAGCCCATAAATCCTAGTTTTTCTTTTAATTTATATTTGTTCATATCTAATTTTTCGACTTACTAAAATGTTTTGATCTCTGGATAATTGTTTGATTCAAGGTGTTGAAGGTGGGGTTTGAGGTGGATTCATCTGTAATATAAGGTTATTATTGAGTAAAGCCTTGTGTCTTCTGAATAAATAACTTTTTATTTGAGAAATCTAATTCTTATTGTAACTCAAGCACAAGATGAGAAGAGCTGTGTAATTTTTTAGAGGTCGGCGCTCATCAAAGCAATGGGAAAGAATTAAAGAGCGGGTTTGATTTGCATAAAACTAAGGGTGCCATAAAATCAAATTGTGCCCTTGGTATAGGCCTGGAAATACAGGACAAGAATTATGTACCCTGTCGAAATTGGCGCTAACAGGGATGCAACCCCTGTAGCAAATATGCGCCTCATATAAATCCACTGAAAACTTGAAATCGTGGCACCACGGTACTTTTCCTTTCGAGTTGAAAACCATCCCCATAATTTAGACTGTCACGGAATGTCATTGTATAGTACCCCTGGCTAGCTTAACCGGTCAACGGATTTGACATGGGCCTGCATGAATAAAAATGCGATTAACTCAATATGCACAGGAAGAGCTCTTCAAACCGGTCGAACGAAATCTTCTCAGGCGGTGTTAGACATATTCACAAGACTGGTACGACGAGCCAGATCAGTTGAAATCAGGTGGATACCAGCCCACTCAGGGATCACTGGAAACGAGGAGGCAGACAGACTGGCGAAGGAAGCCCTCAGGAAACTCCCGGCTGAAACGACTACAGATCCCTCAACAATTAAGGACGGACTTAAATACACCTTCGCAGCCCTCAACCGGTTTGTCAGGCAAAGGTGTGAAGAAGCGGTGGAATCCTGGTGGCTAAAACATAGACCTAGCCGCTATGAGGAGTTGGATCTCCGAATGAAACGAAAACGTCCACCAGAGCTAGCACTTCCGAGGTGGGCGCATCACCACTTGGTCGCAGCGAGGACGGGACATGGTGATTTTAGGAACTACCATGAAAGGTTTGGCCACGAATGGGAAAACTGCAAATGCGTTTGCGGAAGAGAGAAACGTCCCTGGCATTTTGCCGAATGTCGGATTGCTCTACGGCACTGGAGAGAAGAGAAGCATGAACCACCACCGAGTGGACGGGAGATGCTGGCAGAAAAGGGAGGGGGTAAATTTCTCCAGTTCTTAACAGTAACTAAGTGTTACGAGATGCAGAGCGCAAACCGGGAGGATTAAGTCCTGCCGGAGGAAATTTTCCACAGGACTAAGGGCCACGAGGAAGGAGAAAAGGCGCAGGGCGTTTTTTTTTTCGAAATTTAATTAATTATCTATGTCTTCTACAAATAGTTTCTGAGAAGCAAACTATGTACCTAGGTTGTAGTGTGGCCCCAGGGAGCACAGACCCGTATCACGCCTATTGGGTGTAGGGCATAAGCCTGATACGTAATGTATTCAATTCAATTCAATTCAATATGCACAGGAATCTAACACAAGTCATTTTGACAATTTTACCTTTGACATCCTGTCAAGGGGAGCTATTCCACCTACTCATGTAAACTAAGCTAGCCAGGTCACATGACCTGGCAATCAGTACATAGACTTATCTGTAGCATCAGGGCTTTCTATTCAACATGTACAACGTAATACCGTGTCCCACGTATCTTTCTGAAGATATCCTTAAGAGACTATAACCGATTTTTTGAAGAAGACGGTTGGACCACACATCATGGCGAGCGGGGTAATGATGAAAGACAGATAAATCTATTATGAGTTAGCTCAACTGCACCTACAGGGCTAATTCTTGAAGTAGCCCAGTTTCAAGCTTAACGTTTCTGATCCTAGAGGCACTGCACAAGTAAGGCGTCATGGGGGGATGTGTCATATGATTTAAGCGAAACTCCAACTTCATAAAGGGTTATTGAACCTCCACGGCATTTCACCCAAAATCGCTGACACCCTCACATTCACGTTCAAATAATCCACCATTGTACACCACTATCTTCGCCATGGATCAAATCGAACAATTCTATAATTACACGGATCGAAACCCTCTTCGCCAAATACTAGATCAGTATAGAGTTAATCCTAATTTTCAAGCTGGATCTATGCTAGGTAAACCTTTCTAGCATAAATGTAAAGGGAAAGGCTTACCATATAGAAATCGACTACTTATTAACTGACTTCCAGTATTACATCTTGCGATACCTTAGATCCACAGAAAACCACTACGTTACAGTTTTAAGAACAAATATAATCAATCTTCAACCTAAGATATTTAATGGTGAAGTTTTTAACTTGGATTTTGCACAACTGAGATACTTGATCAATTTTGAAAGCGATCGTCAAATTTGGTCTCATGTTAATCTAATTGCCGATCGACTCACCCGGATAGCTCCTCCAATACTTCCAGACTTACAAATCCCTATGACTCAGGAGACGAGATCGATGACAACTCTATTGCGGAACGTCGCAGAACAACCAGATTATGATAGTACCAGAGAAGCCCTTCAAGAAGCACTCAGGGCCGAGCTTACACACGATACTTATAAATCTGTCGATAAATTCTGGGAGGTGAATTTCGAAAATAAAAGCTGGTATGGTCTCACCACTTACATTTGGGAGAGATATCGCGACATGAGTCAATGTGGAAATGACCACGTATTCAGTGACAATATGGGTGATCAAGCAATGAAAGATTGGTTCGAAGCTTTCCACAGGATATACTTGGAACCATACAAAGTCCAACCAACAAATCGCAACGAGCTTCCTACGGCTAGAAACCCTAGCGAGTTTGTGCGCGGAAAATTTACTTCTACTTCTACTGCAATTCAGATGGATGGTAGTCGACGTAATCGGCAAGTGGATGTCTTTGTTGAGCATTGCGACAACCCTGATGGATGGGGTCATCACTGGAGAGACGTGTGGGTAGTGGGCGAGTTCACGAAGGCGGCAGACAAAAAGGGGGTCAAATTCCGCCAGCTCATGCTGTATGTGCGTGAAGTATTCTATGCGCAGCCATTGCGTCGATTCGTCCATGGATTTGTCTTGCACAAAAAGCACATCGTTTTCTGGATTATCGACAGGTCAGGAGCGTATAGCTCTAGTGAAATTAACGTGATCAATGACCAAGAAAAGTTGGTCAGGGCCCTAACGGCTTACACGATCATGAGTGACGAAGAGCTTGGTCTTGACACGACTATCTGTCGTTATAACGAACGCTCCTTCGTCCAAATTCGATATGACAATTTGGCGCCAGAAAGATGGGTCGAGATCAACCCTGAACCAGTAACCCGACCTGAGACTGTGCTGTCACGTGGTAACCTCTGCTACCAGACAATGGACATGAAATACTTGATCAAGTTTTCATGGGGCTCGGGCGCGGAACAGTCTGAGGTTGATTTCTTGAACGCCGCACGAGCGGTAATAGGTGTAGTTGATCTTGAATGGGCCGAGCGCATATATCAGGTTGAGACTCACCGCAAGGGACTAGACTTTTCAACCGGAACAAGGTGGGACATAGGAGTGAAGAATTGGCTTTCCGTTGGCATAGAGTACGAACCAGCCGAATATTTCAAGAAACGAAAACTCACTCTTGCCGTCATCTCTCCTTACGGTCGACCTTTGAAGACCTGCTCTACGGTCCGGGAGTTCTTAAGCGGCTTGCTTGATGCCATACTTGGGCATCGCGGCTTATATCTTTTTGCTGGTATTCTTCACGGCGACATATCAGAAAGCAATATTATTTTGACGATGCCAGATGAATTTGGATTCATTCATGGAAAGCTTATAGACCTAGATATGTCCACGTATGTTGCGGGATATAATGAGACAAAAAGTTTAACTGGAACCATGAAATTCATGGCTATAAAGGTTTTGCAAAATATTGCTCTAAAGTCCGGAACAATGACGAAGACCTACCGTCACGATCTCGAGTCGTTTTTTTACGTCTTTCTCGTGGGATGTGTCTGTTACGGATGTGATCCGGCAGCGGTCAAAGACCACTTCAACCATTGGTGTTTATCTTCCCCTATTTTAAACCAAGGAGCGAAGATGGCAGACGTTGGACTCAATTTTCAGATTAGAATTATCGACAACTTTTCGCCTTGTTTCCATGGAATCAAAGAATTGGCATTAGAGTTGCGTCAAATATTATTTGGAATAAATGGTAATTTTTATGACACACCCAGAGACATCTCAATACTCTACGACCCCATAATCACCGCTTTCCTTAAAACCATCAAAAAAATTGACGGTTAGTTTTTTTACCTATTCTCATCAAACTTCTATTCTTCAACTCGAGACTTGCTGACGAAACCTTTCTTTTGCTGTAGATGGAATCATCAGAAACGAGACTATCACACCAAGAAGATGACGAAAAAGACAGAGGGCGAACAGAACGGAGGAAGTTGATGGCGGCTTGAGTAGCGGAGTATTATCAGGCAGATGACAGCGTAATTTCTAATTCATCATTTACATATCTTAAAATAGCGTTAGTAGAAGTCTTTAATAGAACTCGAATGCCGAATAATGTTATTGTACGATATTCAGAACGTATTCAAGTGTGGATAAAATGCAATTACTTTCTATGGTTTTGCGCCATGGCATTGTCTTTACCGAAAATGTTTGATCACTTTTTTGAAACTTTTGTATTCCGTGATTTAAGCTTTTAAACATGAAATAATATATCCGTCGCTCTGAAGCATACACATACACATGCATGCGTCTGTATAAGGAATTGATGAATTCAGATTACCTTGAAGACATCAACTCGGTAGGAATTAACAACTTCTTCCTTGGGAAAACAATCTACCACGTAGTCTCCCATCTTTTACATGTGCATGGCCCTCACTGCCTTTGAGAACACAAGTTGAATTGATTATTAAAAATACTCCAATGTAGCTAGACTCTATCACATAGAGGGACTATTCTCAACACCTGTCAGAGGTGTCCCCTACGAACCCCCAGCTCTCACTGTAGAGTCTGCAGAGTCTGCAGAGTCGAGATTGAGTAACAAAGTCCTTACTTCGACGAGAATTCCAAATCGCTTACGCGGTCTGTATCGTCTTCATCTCCCAACACATTCCCCTATCACCATTATCATGAAGCTAACCACGATCAGATCAGATAGTAGGATCGGAGCTCTACTCATCACCAACCCATGGTCATGGGGGAAAAGCTATCCGATGAGTTTCCAGAGCGTACCCAGCACCCAATACAGAGATGGCGGATTGGATCAAGTCGACCTCGACTGTTACAAAGAATGGAGATATAAATGAATATGCGCACTTCATGTGGTCCCGGTGTCTAGGCCTCACTTGGCTGCAGGTTTTTTGAGACTTTTTCCCGCCAACGCAGTTTCCATTGCTACCATTTTTTTTTTTGTGTGGAAGGTTCTGTGGAAACGGTGGCTTAATTCCACGGGTAAACCCTGAGCTGAATGGCTTTTGACCACGGGCAATATATCAACGATCTTTCAAGAAACATGAGAGGCAAGGAGCACTGTACAAGGTGTGGCCTGGGTCAGAGAGGAGTCCATTGCGCTAGATATTCTATGACTCGAGTAATACAATTAACATCACTCACTCTATCACATATATTCTAAAATTCCTCTTTAGTTTTAGAATCATACAGGACTATAAAATAAATCTAATCTATTCCCATCCTTGATATGCTCTGCGTAAACTAGTATTAACTCCCCCCCTCGGCCACCTGAGAATCATCCTTTCGCCCTGGATCACCTCCTCTCCTGTACCATACTCCCCATCTGGTACATAACCCCCTTGATACCTCCTTATACGCCCCATTCGCATTTCCAGGCGTGCTGCTCTACCACAGCCCAACCTCGAAGACGGAGTGGTCCTAGTGACCAGTCCCAATCCGGGCAAAGCCCTTCACAGTATGCAATGGAACTTTCGATGATTTGATGGTTCTCGTTCTTCTTAGACGATGATAATGATGATATTTTTATCGTGACCGGGTACTACCCCAGCATCCAGAGGGAATGGCATGGGTAGTCCAGATTTGTATGACTCTTCGCTACCTACATCATTGTTTGGTAGAAAACTAGACACACAAAACTCAAACAAATAAAAACACCATTTCTAATGTACTAGCGCCCTGCACTACACCTTAATTCTCATACCACACCGAACGATCCCAAGAAGTATTACAGTTGACCCTTACATCCCCTGTTCACGATTCAATCTTGCTGTATCACTTTTTTACAGTTAAAAAACGCCAGAATTTCTGCCATCCTTGTCAGTTTATTACCGGTTCTAGTTAGCGTGCAAGCACATAGATTGGGTAAAATGGTTATTGATCAAAATATGTATCTTTGTCTCTATCTATCTATCATGAGTTACATGAATGGAATTAAACCCCCACATCGCACTGATACCACGTGACTAATATCCGTAAATTGCCCCACAGCAACTCTACCAACACCAATATCACCTCGTTTTTTTGACAACCATCTACAAAATCTGGCAAACCACGAAGTTCCCCCAAGCAATCAACATGAATACTCTTCCCCCCGCCCTCCCTCTAATTGTGAAAAGACGGAACATGAGCTTCTAGCTAACGTGTGCCCAAAACAGAATTTATATTCTATCTAAAGAGAAGGATACCCTATACAGATGTTCATGAATATGAAATACGTGTCGCGTAAGGCATCCCTTTATATAAGCAATAACAATGCTTGACCACAAATGTGTTAGTGCTTGGCAAGGGACCGGATATATTCCGGTTCCAGACTACATGGCTACAGCCTGTAACACTAATCACCATCTCCCTCTCCTTACCTCCACACAACCAAGTGGAGGGGAGTCATTAACGGAATTGCTACTGTCAACTACCTCCGCCGCTGACACCAGGAATCAAGAGGCCACCCTCTTGTTTCAAAATATTGCGTGCGTCCTTGACAACGCAACTAGTGGAGAGTGCCTTCCACAACATCTTCTCAAACCATTTCGCGAGTTTATCGCGGATTTAAACTCTGTGGCGCGTAGGCACTTTGAATGCCATGTCAGAGGTTCACCTCGACCGCTAGCGCCCTACTCCGCAAGTCCAACCCAGCCCCAGACTAGACAGTCAATTTATAACCCAGATACACAGAGCACCTCTACCGCACCTCTGCCGCACTGCAAGCTACCCCAGCTCATAATCAACCCAGAAGTTACGCTAAAGCTGTCACTGATGCTCCTAGGCAACAAAATCAACAGCAACAGCAACAGCAACAAACTTCCAACAAACCGGCTCAACCTCGTCAAAAGCCCCCCTGCGAAGATATTAGACTTCTAGTTCATGTAAATCCAGGGCACCCTGCACTCTCCATGTCGCCATTTGCAGTGATGCTCCATCTGAATGAATTCTTAAAAGAAAAGTTGATAAGTAAGGTCCAAACCACTAAAACCGAGTTTGACATTTACCCAGCCTCTATCCCTGCCCAGCAAGCTCTGATCAATAGAATGGATGCACTGGAAAGCCACCTATTGACCCAGGGCAAATGTAAGGTCGAAAAACCTACTAACCATGCTGCATACCTACTTGTAACAGTTGTGAACTGTACTAAGCATGCGCTCGCCTAATCATACTCATCTTGATCTGGTTAGGCTCGGCTGATAATCTTCCGGCCTCGGCACACAGTTTGTATGATAATTTCGTGTACATAAAACTTTCTTTCTTTAGATTAAATATAGCTCATGATTCAGACCCAACTATATCATTCTTAGCTTTCCTCTGACACTACTCACTGGTATACCCCGCTCTTACACAGGATTTAATGGTATCTCTGTCGAAAATATCTCAATCACGGCTTCAACCGTTACTGAAGCTTTAATGGACCTAAACAACATTCAACCAATCAACGTCTTCGAACCTCAAGGCTCAAACACGGCCCAATTCTCTCATTAAAAAGACTTGATAACCCTATTCCTAGAAGGATCAGCTCTATCGAGAAAGTTGCTCTCTTTGGATTCTACATCCCTGCCAAAAAACTTACCAAGAAGACTAAAACGCCACAATGCGGGAGATACTTTGGCTGGTATAACGAGCGAGCTTGCGCGCGAGCGTCCCGCTGCAGGCTCTGTGGATCAACTCAACACCTAGAAAATGAGCATATATTTTGTGTTCCCACCAGACCTAATGTCAGAGAAGCATGTAGACAGCAGGGCGAAGACATTGGTCAAAGAGGTGGTCTTCAGGCTAAAGGGCGCCATCCTACATTATGCATGAGATAGGTGCATAACTGCTCGGCCAAAAGACCAAACCAGAATCATAGAACACTAGTTGCAGGTTATCTCCACATATATAGATTATACAGAAGGCAATCCTGACACCTCATGACTGCCTGCCCAGATGCATCAACTGTTACGGCCCTCACCCTGCTGATGTACTCAAGTGTCTTTTCAGACCCAAGAAAGACAACTTAGTCCCATCCAAGTCTGAAGCTGCCCGGATCAGACAGATTACTTCAGCTGCTAGATTACGCATAAAAATAGCCCACTGCAGCATAATTTCAACCCAAGCACCTACAGGTACAGTCCAAACTGAAGTTGCAATCCCCTCGACCCCAACTGAGGTGCGAAGGCTTTTTACAGAATACCCGAGCCATTCCGGCAATAGATTTACCCCCCTGTCAACCCAAACCCAGAAATGTAGTGATATCAGCAAATCAAAAATGGATTCATGAGTACCAAGCCCATATCTCTAAAAATCCTCTCCATCAACATGGAGCGCTGCTCATCTGCATACAAAATTGCTCTCCAACTTGCTTTCAGCACTAACACGGACATCTTGCTAATACAAGAGCCGTATTATCATAAAGATTTAACCAGAAAAATTACACGAAAACATCTGTCTTTCAAATGCTTCAACCCTTTTGACGACTGGTCCATTCGGCCTCAAGTACTATCATACTCGCGGAAAAATAATTCATTTTCATATTCTCAAGTCTGTCCCGCTTCTTTCTTAGCCCACAGAGCCGAGGATACACTATTTCTCTTTGTAAAATCTTCCGATAAATTTTCTACTTTAATAGTAAATATCTACAATGCCCCCCTTGGAGCTATCAATCCAGGCGCCGGGGTCACCTTCCTACTTTCTTTGAAAAACTTCGTTTTTCCTAAGCAAACAACTCTGGCTAGAGACTTCATTCTCCACCACCAAAATTGGCATCCATCTCGCTGGGCTCATCTTCCCCGCAGGTTAACATATTCACTCAGTGGCTTCAGTCCAAAAATCTTTCCTTTATTTCAGAAATAGACAACCAAACACATACCTGTGGAAACGTACTTAACCTCATTTTCGCCTCGGAAAAACTCTGCGCCGAAAATGACATTGCATCTGTCCAACAGGATCTAGACATAACTTCAG